AACTGCAGTTGCTACTACAAGAGCGGAGGCTAATGTGAGGAGCGACGCTGCACTGATGCGTAGCAAATGGCCAGGTCTCCAAGCCATGACGCATACTCATATGTAAGATTCCGAGAAACAGCGTGATTCACAGTTCATTGTGAATGTCGCCGTTTCACGATCAGCATCGAATTCGTTGACTGGGATGCAGATGGTATACCTGAGCTAATAGAACACCATCAGCAACCTGCTCGGTATTCCGACTAAGCCTTCAAACGAGAAGTGGATCACCTGCCACCTTAATTCCAAGCACTATGTTAAAACCGGACATCTTCGAGTTGGGCTAAACTGTCGATGAGATGGAAGCAGTCTCCCTGTCGACAACTCGTCTCTAGAACGGATATGGTTCGGTCCGCGTCTGTCTAGATGTTCCATTAGGCGAGTGCAAGCGAGCGAAACAGAGTTTAGAAGAGCTCCACCTAGACATTCAAGCCAAAGCCAATGTTATCCATGGCATCGCCCATTCGCATGGGTACGCTGAATGCGAAGCAGAGGCTCACGACCAGGAACAGTGGCGCTGAATGCTTGAGACGCTGCCCTTGGAAGACGTTATGCCTACTTCTCTCTCGAGACTGCCAAGGTCAGCGAGCTACAAAGGATACAGACTCAGGATAACGATGGTTGTGCTTCAAACTAGGCAGATCGCATTCAAGCTACTGGAACGATGACAATCACTTAGGAACACACAGCCAAACAAGCTCCGGTGCAAAGCAGAGTGAAACTCGCTCGGCTTAAAGCGACACTTCAGCAGCCAAGGCAATTGCGGACTCCATTCGAACTGTACATGGTAGCAGTTCTGGAAGTAATGAGGATCCTCCTATGCATTCCAGTAACCGCTCACCAGAGGGACTACTTACTATTTCGCCGAACTCGACTCTAAATGACTTAAGGTTAACACCACTAAAATTGGTTAGCGGCGACTATACAATGGTTGACACAACGGTTGACTCGCTGCTGAGAACCGGAACACATTCATACAGGTACACACCAATGCCTAAGACCTCCTCAGTAAAATTGCCGAGCTTCTGTTACGTCTTGCTACAAAACGTTTGGTTGCACTCGGAGGTTACGGATGTCGATATAGCGATCAAGGGACTTTTATTGTTTTAAAACGTTGGTTTCAGCAGGATAAGTGGTGTAATCCTATATTATCGCAACGACTTACAATGCGAACTATTGCATGATCCGGAGAAGTTTATCATTGATTGTGTCTCAGATACAAAGACAAGTGTTTCTTGGCAGTCGTTTATCCCTTCACTTCGTCCAGTCCAGAGGTGGATACCCACTTAACATCAGCACTGACAAAAAGCTTACTCCCAACTTATAGCCAAGTTCTTTTCACTGGCGATTTCAACGTGCACAACCTGGAAGCCTCCGCATTCAAGGCCAGACTGCCAAACCTTGTCGAAAGTATTCCAATGTACAATCACATCACTTCGACTACTAGGTACAGAGCTGCTAACAAACCATCGGTATTAAACTTTGTACTTACAACTGATGAACTGATGCTTGAACTTACGTAACTAAACACGCCAGGATGGATAATTGATCATGTCAGCATACTTTAGACCTGTGTGTTACGCTGAATATCCGAAGGAACACACTAAACTAAAACGTAATATCACACGCTACAACATTCTGCCCGATCTGGTTGCGATGACAGATTGATGATTCTTGAAAGATAGCTCCCCTGACAACGCGTGGACTCAGTTCCTTGGCCGCTTCAGCAATCAAGGGGGTTCGTTCCAGCAATTCACTTTAGTTCATCAGAAGTAGAACCCGAAAACGCATGTGATTAAGGAATGCAGCTTCGCCCACTTACAGAGCTCATCCTAGTCCCGAAACCTGGAGCGACTGCGTGATCCGGCGCAAGCATTGTAATATGCTTGCCCGTGAAGACAAACTGACTCACCAAAAACATTTGCCTTGTAAATTTGCCAACAGCAAAATGCTCCTATAAAAGCATGTTAGTACCATTCAGAAAGTGGAACACGATATCACACTACTTCACACGGCAGTCGAAGTGACACAATGCTGAAGAGGCAGCCAACGCCCTACGGATGTAGTATGCCCCAACCTTCTAACGAGACCTTGCCACTGTTACATGCCTACATCCCTAGCTCCAATTACTGCAATTTTCAGCATCGCTTTCACGGCCACATCTGTGTTGAAGAAATTGCTTTCATTACGCACCTGTAGTTCTTCTAGAGTCGATGATATTCACCGGAGGACGTTGAACGTAGCAGCACCAACGCTGCCTGTGCCGTTGGTGCACGTTTTCAATGCCTGACGTGTGGAAACATGGTCTTATCACGCCAGTTATCATGTGGCAATCTCTCGGAGCTCGCAAACTATCACACAGCGGTCATGGTGCCTGTACTCTCAAAGTTAATGGAGGCAATCATCGCCTAGGCTTTAGTAGCCCACGTAGAACGCTACAACATCACACCACCGGAACAGCACAGTTTCCACCAACACTATTCATGCACAACCTACCTACTGACTGCACGGTAATTGGACAGAAGCAGCTGACAAAGGGAGAAGAGACGATGTCATTTACCTGGATTTCTCCATAGCATTCGACGGCGTAGGTTGCCACCTTTTCCTTATAGGCTCGAAAGCTATGGAGTTGGGGGCATTGTCCTCTGGTGCATCAGAGGTTTCCTGCAGGATTTGCAACAGCAGCTTAGAGTTTGAAGTGCGCTGTCCGATCCGAGTCGTGTCGAATGTAGCGTTTCGGCAGTTTTCGGGCCGCGTCTTTCTCTCGTTTGTTAATGAGCGTACGCTTTTGATTGCCTCGGAGTTCTTGTTGTTCGCTGATGTTATTAACATGTGGCGGGTGATCGCCGACAAAGGAGATCACGAGACCTTGTCAGGGCGTATGAATAGTCGTTCCACTATCTGCTGCACTTTAGCTGGTCTAAGTGTAGGGTTGTCCACATTCGTTAACGACGGAACATCATATACAAGCTTGGAGACCACAGACTGCAAGCAGTCATCATGGATCGTGGTCCGGGTACTCATCTGGGCTGCTCTGGGCTACTCAGACCAATCTGAGTAGGTGTCAAAGACTGGGAACCAACAGTTTGGCATGATGCGGGGGGCATCAGGCACTTTGATCTGTCTGTGCGCAATTGCCAAACACATATGTGCGGCCTCATGTAGAATACGCAATTTAGGCCTGGTAGTCGTAACACAAGAAAGATCTCGCAGCGCTTGAGACTTCACAACGAAGAACCGCCAAGCATGTCAAAGGGTTGTTTCACCCTCCAAACCAACTTGGACTGTGGACTCTGGGGCAGTAAAGCGGTCAGCCTGGGCGCCTACTTGGCGGCCTACTAATGAGCTACCAGATTTTGAGGAACCCCATCCGCGGCTAGCGCCACCTAATGCAACTCAGTCCCAAGACGAATTTGAGGGGCAACCAACTCAAGCTGGCCAAGCAAAACAATCGGCTAGGATGTCGACGAAACGGTTACTCCCTTCGTGTCTGCCAGCCATGGAGCGCTCTCTCAAATCACATTGTTTTCGCCCCCACGTTATCTGTGTTTACAAAACACCCAAGTTTCCTAACCCCCGTACATTACGAGATACAGCCTGTGTATTTTGACAGAAGATATAATGTGACGTACATTGCATAGCCAGCATCAACCCACACAGTCGAGTTGGGCTCTTTTACGCATACCTCTGTGTGAAAGAATATGGTGAGTCTGCCAAAACACCTGCAATTGCATCACATGTTTTGTTTTCACCATTTTGTGGTTCACATTCTGGCTAGCATACGGGACTTGTTAAGCAATCGTTTTTTAACCCGTAATACACCATCGTGCCGTTGTACTGATCGACGGCCGACGCCTTGATCAATAGGCCATTGAGATCCGTGCTAAACGTTTAGCACAGCGATTTGCAATTCCGTGTTAGATATTGGAGTTCCCGCTTCGTGTTCGAATTGCATCACGCAGTGTCTAATGAGAACTCGGTTCACTCTCATCTCTCACACCTACATTCCAACGGTTGCAGGGGTAATATTTGCATAAGCTACCAATTTTCGGGTTATATTTCAGTTGTATTTCGCTACACCTACATGAACATCTTGGGACTTTAAAGTGCTCCCTTGTAAATCGCAAACCCCCATATGTCGGTTCCAAAAGGCAGATGAGTGCAGGGGAGTTATTATTTTATACAAAAAGTTCCTGTTTTTAGCAACAATACGATACCGATGGAAGTTGCTAACAAGGGGATAGGAAGATGCAGCACAACTTGCGGTCGCGCGTTAGACAAGCTGGGCGCCTAGCATATGGCATCGCTCCATTCAAACAATAAAACTGAACTTACAGTTTAAAATTCAGCACCGCTCGCCTAAGTGTACAATGAAATAGTGACCTTAGTTAGAATTATATATAAGCGTGGAATATGCAGGCTGTTACACCTAAAGCGCTTTGTATGAACAGTTTGCAAAGGCTTAAAGTCAATCAACCACTCCGTCGGCTATTGATCAATATATTCATTACCATGTTGTTTAGATATCTTCCACCGATGTATTCCGTATGGGATTGCAACAACAATCAGAACTGGTTCGCGCCCATAGAGAGTTTTTCAGAAATATCAACTATTCCTCGCCGAGTCTACAAAACAGACATTTGGGATCCCAATACTCTACAAAACCTCCCGGTTCGCTGTCTCCAAATCAAAATTGCTGTTCATTAGTAACACCAAAACCCTTCGGGCCCCTTTTCCAAACTCGGCGCAGTCACAAGTTTCCCGAAAACCATGTTGCATTCATCAGCCCTGTGATGAAGTACACTGTCACTGATTATCGCCTCCTACCCCAGATACACACACCTCCGAGAACACTAGGCCCTGATCTCAGTTCGGATGACTACAAGCAAAAAGTAAGTGGACCATCCCTCTTGCTTCACTTTCAACCACTGATCCTCTACAACGGAATAAAAATCAATGATTCGGTAGTCCATGTCTGTGGATTGATTTGAACTGTGTGTACGGTTATCGATTTAGGTCATTTACAGTAGCCGTAGTTCACCATATCCAACCAACTGACCGTGAATACTCACTTCAACTCGGATACTCGAGTACCAGAATTTATATTCCGCTATTTTGCATGACGGTTGCACTCCAGTGACTTGTATAGCTGCTCTGTAGAGTTATCTAACACCGAGTGCAAGTTACTTGGTCAGTAGGTAAATCTGATGGGACGATCATTAGCTAGCCACAAGACTAGAGCCTACTGGCTAGAGTAGCCTGAAATAGATGAATCTGCTAACAGGCAGCCAGGTTAGGTGGTATTGACCTGCATCTGTCATCCCATCTATCTTAATCATGCAATTAACTGACAATACACTATATCTTTCTTCCCCAAGTTCCAACACGTCTGCTCGTTTAGACGAAAGCTTTGTAGTTAGCTGTGGAAAAATACATCCAAAAAGCGGCCATTAAAAGGGTTCAACTAGTTATTTAACCAACAGCATTAAATGTCCAGTTAAAGCTCCTCTCACCAGTATACGATGTGTCATTCGCGCAACCGACGGGGCTGCACAGTAAACAGTTCGTCTCGCTCAGTTTTCGTCCGATGTAGAATTGACAAATACTTGTTTATATGGTCCCGTTCCAATCTCAGTGATTAATGTGTTGTGAATTTCTTTTCCCTTCCTTCCATCTTAACCTGGCCCTGAACCACAATCGTATTCCGGATGCATACGAAGATGAAAGTACCATAGTATAGGCTTCATCTTGCTTTAGCTCTTTTGTCCATGCGATCAAATTGAATTTTATTGCAACAAGTTCGCCGACGTGTTTCTCGCCTCAAGCTAACGTGTAGCACAGTGATTAGGATGGAAGGTTCTTAAGGAAACACTTGGCTACAGATTATCAACTTCTGTGAAACTACTCGGTTAAGGTTTCAGATAGCCTACGTGGAACTAGTACATCGCTACTGTCACTACCACTTAGACGATTTAATATGGTGACTGACGCGGCATGATTTGCTTTTTCGCAATATACTGAAGGATCTACTTAGTAACCTGGCATGCGTAGGGTGTATTCATGCTTGATGCACTTGTCACGAGTGAACATGATGCAGAGATTGAAAGAGTAACTTGGTCATTTGCCGTCATCAACCAGTTTTAGGAGGCCGATAATCTCAGGTCAGCGTTATCGGTATCACATTCGTCTTGATGGTGCTGCATCCAAAGGTGATGCCATTCTGGAATCGTGTACGGCCCATCCATCGCCAGCGTTTGGTACGCTTGCTTTGTTGCATTTTGCGCCTATGAGCAACCAGTTAACTGCGCAAAAATACGCATGTGCAAGTGCGCCGCATCAGTGCTCTAGGCTTTATCAAGTCCACAGGTCAATGCCATGAGGATTTAATTATTCATGGGTGCAGTATGCATTAATGGATTGTGTGACAGTTCCGAATCAATCATGAGCCCACCCGCACACCTTTTGAGATCGGCCTTGATATAGTGTGGATTGTACCATGGATTGGACGGCACAGAATATCCATGGCTGGGTTCGGACGTCTCGGACTGGCTTGAAAAACAACCTCCCGTGGTTCGGACTTATCCCAATCCAGCAAAATGTTAGGCAACAGTGTTCCATGGCGTTTCGCCACGTCGTGCGCATGCCTAAAGAGCGTTTACCGATACGAGTCCTATTTGCGCTACCAGGACCGCATTAGAAGAGGCCACATAGAGGCCAGTCGACCAGTTATGATAATACTTGGTAAATTCTCAACAACGTGAGACTAGGCCAAGGTAAGCTGATCCGAACATAAGGCACAAAAGTAACTCAAACTGAACTGCAATTTCTTTTCATTTGATTATTGTACCATGAATTTCGCTTTACGTCTTCGAATTGGACGCGGTTGCAGATCATTCAGTGAGGTTACGGCGCACGGTTGTAAAAAGAAGGTAAAGTAACAAGGATTAGCGAGTTAAGTGGCAATATGCATATGTAAAAATGTAATAAAATTCAAAACTGTAGTACGTGATAATAGTATTAAAACTAGTGGTGGTGTGTGAGCAGACAGAATATCTAATGTTGAACAGTTAAACTGAGAGCTGCACCAGTACGAAACATTAAAATCAATTAGAATGAACGACATTCCTCACACATGTAGTAAGATATCGCAGAGCAAATGGAATATGTACAAAAATTAGGTAGGTTGGTTGCTGAGTAGCAATAGTTCTGCCTTTCAGTATGTCTACATCTTTCAGACGCTCATGCCTCTCATTTAGGTGGGTACGATAAACAATGGAACAATGGTTTATTACGGGTAAAAAAGCATCGCTTAACAAGTCCCGTGGGATGAAAATTATTGGGAAAATCAATTGCATAATAAAGTGAAAAGTGTTGTGGTGAACTCACCATAGACTTTTGTGGAATAGCGGAGATGTTCGCGTATTAAACGTATAAATCCATTGGTTAGGCGTTTGGCAAGACACCGTTTGATTGCGTTTGTAGCCCCTGGCTAACAAGTCATAAAATGAAATGTAAGTGAGACAATGCATCGTCAACACGTTTGTTAAATATCACCAAATTGGGATCAGAGATGACATAATTAGGTAGGGCTTTCCAAGGCTGGCACATGCAAAGGGAAAGGAAATTTTTACGACATTCAAGCTGGTTATACTGAATTGTCAGTTTCAGAGGGTGACCTCTTAGTTTAGTGTTGTGGTTCAATTCCAGCAGCGGACGGCAGTTGTGGTTTGGATTCTTCAGAATTTGGTAAACCATTATGCGATCCCCCGCAAAAGCCGATATCGACTGATGTAGATTCTTAGAGATTTCAGTCTAAGCTGATAGGGCAGATGAAAGAGGCCCCTGACGTTCTTGGTTGCCTGTCTTTGAGGAGTCTCGAGAGCAACGAGATCCTGTTTCTGCCACGGTTGCCACGCCTGAATAGCATATTCCACGTAAGCTCGCACGTAGGCGTTAAGCGTTTGGGAAAATATTGAGGGTTCAAACCGACCGAAGGCACTGTGAAGAAGCCCGAAGTGTTGATTTCCGGTTCTCGTCGCCTTCTCTGCTTGTTTTGAACACCCAAGATCTTCCTGTACCAATACACCCAGGTCACGCTCCTGAGAAACCTTCGCCCAGGTGTGGTCTCCAATCTTGGATGCGCTCACCCGCTGGTGACGCAGATGGATCACTTTGCACTTAGCTATGTTCAATTGAAGCTTGTTTCTCTTTGACCATTCGTAAATGCAATCTAGGTCATGTTGGAGCAGATCCTGATCTGGCTTGTTACTAATCGCCCGCCATATTTTGACTTCATCGGCGAAAAGCAGGAAATTTGAGGAGATGACTCTTGCCAGGTCGTTAATAAACACTAGGAATAAACGCGGTCCCAGCACTGAGCTTTGTGGGACACCACATTCCACCTCAATTGAGTTAGAGAGTGATCCCCTAACACGTACTTGAAGCTTCCGTTGGTAAAGGAAGTGGCCAATCTAACCAAATACAGGATCTGCGATCCTGTAACTCTGAAGCCGTTGAAGTATGATTCCGTGATCAAGGCGGTTGAAAGCTTTGGAGAAGTCCAGATAGATGACATCGACCCCGACCCCATCATCGGCCACTTCCGTCCAACTACCTCGTGCAATCAGTAGGTTGGTGGTGCATGACCGGTGTTGACGGAAGCCATGCTGTTCCGGTACCAAGATGTTGCATTTTTCCAGGTAGTCCATTAAAGCCTCAGCGACGACTGCTTCCATCACCTTCGCGAGCACAGGGAGGAGAGTTACTGGACGATAGTTTACAAGATCTGAACGGCTACCGCCTTTAAAAATAGGGGTGATAATGCCAGACTTCCACATAGTGGGGACTTGTTGTTTATCAAAGCACCTTTGGAAGAACTCTGACAGTGGTTCAGCTAGCTTGTTGTCTACAGCCTTCAGTGCCTTCGGGCGGATGTTTTCTGCTCCCGAAGAACTATGCACACGCAGTGAGAGTAACTTCCTTCACACAATTGATGGGTTGAAAACTACATTTGCAAACAATGGTGTCGAGAATGTGCTTGATATTATGGGACAGGTAGAGGTTGCGAGTTCAAAAATTGGGGCGTATTGTAGCCGCAAGGCATTAGCTGCTTCTTCGACACTTTGTACTCTACTGCCTGTCGTGAAAAGTGGAGGGATTCCAGGCTTCACTTTACGAAGCTTATTGACATGCCAATATAGTAGTTGGTTTTTTGGCATGAACTTTTTGGCTAGGCACTGTTGATAAGTTACTTTGTCCTCACGGACAAGTGCAGTGCAATGGTTGCGATGAGTCAGGAAATTGCCCCAAGTCTCTGAGTTGGGGTTAATTTTGTAAACGCGCCATGCTGCATCCCTTATCGCCAGGCATTTTCGAGTCCTGCTCCTTAGAATTGAAGGCATTTTTGTGGGACGAAGGGGCTTGGTCTGTGATGCTCTGTTGAGGTTTTCGCTGAATCTATTAACGAACTCTGCCCAAACGTTGTCAAGGGGACTTTTGTTTGATAATTCCCAAGCAGCTGCGTCGGCGAGTTCTTTCAATACGTGGTAGCGTGGGATTGTATGAGTTAGTTCCGAGTGTTCAGATGGATACTCTGCATAACACACATAGTTGAACGTTATTACTACATGGTCACTGAGACCTAATGGACTATCCATCAGTAACTTGTCAACTATGAGCTCTTCATTCGTGAGCACAAGGTCCAATATGGACGATTTGTTTGCTGTGCTGAATCTAGTGGGCGTGGTGACATGATTGTACAAAGGAATATTAGCGATCAGTTACAGCAAGTCTGCTTTGAACTGCTCACTGGGCGATGCCAAAACCTCCAGATTGTGTAGATTGAAGTCCCCGGAGATGAGAATGTGACTGTACATAGTGTGTGTTACTCTAT